CTGCCCCCCTCTCTCTCTGTCTCTCTGTCCCCCCCCCTCTCTCTCTCCCTCTCTCTCTCCACCTCTCTCTAACAAGCTGCATGAACGTGACAGACAGTCAACCAACACACAACGGCTCCGTTACCGAACGTTATACAAGACACTTGGAAACAAACAGACTTTGACATATAAGATAAGATAGAATAAGATAAGATAAGATAGAATAAGATAAGATAGAATAAGATAAGATAGAATAAGATAAGATAGAATAAGATAAGATAGAATAGAATAAGATAAGATAAGATAAGATAAGATAGAATAAGATAAGATAAGATAAGATAAGATAAGATAAGATAAGATAGAAAAGGGTAAGATAAGATAAGATAAGATAAAATAGAATAAGATAAGATAAGATAAGATAAGGTAAGATAAGATAAGATAAGATAAGATAATACTTTATTATCCCAGAAGGAAATACACCACCACCACCACCATCAACAACAACAAAAAGGATACAAATTGTATGTATGAAGAGAATGCTCCATTGTGCAGTACTAGAAACGAAACAAAAATCAAACAATCTCTAGTTACTAGAAACGAAACAAAAAACAAACAATCTCTAGTGCGATTTCTGAGTTGCTGGTATAGAGAAAACATTTAAAAAAATAAAGTCATAACAATAGATAATGTAAACAGAAGTCTGAAACACAGAGCTAGCACAAGGTTAAGGTCACTGACAGACGACGAAGAAAAAAAAGGACAAATATCAACTGTGCCGTTCATCATCATCATCATCATCATCATCATCATCATCATCATCATCATCATCATCATCATCATCATCATCATCATCATCATAGTCATCATCAGTTACCAAACAATTTTTCCTTTTCCTGTTTCGTCTCTTCCTGAATCACAACAATTCCTACCACGTTGACATTTTACGTAGAGTACAAATACCAGGCATCAAAGCAGGTCTGGGGGCTCTCGTGGCCTAGAGGTTAAGGTGTTGGCCTCTCATTCAAAGGTCCCGGGTTCGAATCCGGGTAGGGACTGAAAACTTTTCTTCTCTAAAATTGTCTCCTTTCACCTCCTTTCCTGCTCTCTAGCAATGTTCTGTTGTCTGCTTTCATTTCCACTTTCTGCCCCCACCCCCTCACCTCCTTTGCCCCATCCTCTGGGCTCCTGACCCTTTCTGCAGCCTTTCTACTGCTATTTCTTGGCTCCTTCTTACTGCTGTCTTTCAGCCACACCCCTGATCTTCTGGTAGGAAAGATCTACACCTAGCCTTTTCGGACAAGGGCGAAAAATCTCGGAGGGCCCGTGTGCAAGTTGCGCACGTTAAAGATCCCTTGGTGGTCTAAAATCGATAAGAGTAGGCTTCGGCCGCCACCCGGGCAAAATTCAAAATTTCCTACCAACTGAAAAATATTAGGTGTGTCCCGCGCGCTCATATGACCTTATGCAGTTGCGAGCGCCGTAAAACACTTTACAAAAAAAATAAAAAATCAGGTCATGGGTAAGAAAACAAAGCAAAACCAAACCCCAAGTGAGCAGTGCCTTTGAGCAGTTCAAGACATGGCAATATGCAAAAGACAGTATCTTAGTTACATCTTAGTAAGAGTTTTACGGCACATGCAACAACAACAAAGAAGGTCATACGTCTTAACAAGTGGCCAAGATTAGTCATGTTACTAATTGGCGCTCATATGACCTCATGCAGTTGTGAGCGCCGTAAAACCTCTACTGAAACAAGATGTTGCTAGTGAGTACTATACGAAGGAAAAGAATTAGGAAAGACAAGGATGATGGATGTTTGATAGGACAAAAAGGAGCAAACCCCACTAAAGCACCCCTTAACCACCCACAGAAAGTGTCCCCATCAACAAGTATGTCGGTGGGTGGTTGGCGGGTGCTTTGGTGTGGTTTGCTTCTTCTTTCCTATCAAACATCTATCGTCCTTATCGCCCCTTCATCTTTTTTATGTTTGTTACTCTCTTGTAACAGCTCTAATCTTCTGGCGCTCATATGACCTTATTCAGTTGTGAGCGCTGTAAAACCTCTACTAAAGCTAAAAACCAGTATGTCACTCACCTGTCCGTCAATGACACTGCTCACGTTGTGAGGGACGAGGCACGAGGGCGCGAAGCAGAGGCGTTGAATCACTCACTCATAGTAGGCCCCTATGTATTAATACAGTCCAAGACCCTGCTCTAACGGCCGTCTGTCCAAGCCAATCACCTGCACAAACGACCACCTCTCATTCTCCTACTAGCGTGTAAAAAATGATATTATTATAATAAAGACACTGTCCGAGACGTCTATCTGTCTAAGACAACCATTTTTCTCCTCGGCAATGGGTGACCGTCTTGAACAGTTTTGAACTGTATTATCCTAATAAGCCGCCTCAAAACTTGGCCAACATTGTCTCTTCAGAAAATTAAGCACGATATCTCAGTAAACAGCTCACTGTCTACACTACACACAGAAAGATGTCTCACTCTGTAATTTATAAACAGCACAGCACACACAGAACGATATCTCACTCAGAAAACAGCACACACACAGAACGATATCTCACTCAGAAAACAGCACACACAAAACGATATCTCACTTAGAAAACAGCACACACAGAACGATATCTCACTCAGAAAACAGCACACACAGAACGATATCTCACTCAGAAAACAGCACACAGAGAACGATATCTCTGTAAACAGCACAGCACACACAGAACAATATCATCTCACTCTGTAAACAGCACACACAGAACGATATCTCACTCTGTAAACAACATACTCAGCTGTAAACAGTAAACAGCACACATCATAGAACGATTTCTCACTCAGAAAACAGCACACATCACAGAACGATATCTCACTCAGAAAACAGCACACACAAAACGATATTATATCTGCAAACAGCACACACAGAACGATATCTCACTCTGTAAACAGCACACACAGAACGATATCTCACTCTGCAAACAGCACACACAGAACGATATCTCTGTAAACAGCACAGCACACACAGAACGATATCTCACTCAGAAAACAGCACACACAGAACGATATCTCACTCAGAAAACAGCACACAGAGAACGATATCTCTGTAAACAGCACAGCACACACAGAACAATATCATCTCACTCTGTAAACAGCACACACAGAACGATATCTCACTCTGTAAACAACATACTCAGCTGTAAACAGTAAACAGCACACATCATAGAACGATTTCTCACTCAGAAAACAGCACACATCACAGAACGATATCTCACTCAGAAAACAGCACACACAAAACGATATTATATCTGCAAACAGCACACACAGAACGATATCTCACTCTGTAAACAGCACACACAGAACGATATCTCACTCTGCAAACAGCACACACAGAACGATATCTCTGTAAACAGCACAGCACACACAGAACGATATCTCACTCAGAAAACAGCACACACAGAACGATATCTCACTCCGCAAACAGCACACACAGAACGATATCTCTGTAAACAGCACACACAGAACGATATCTAACTCCGCAAACA